TGCTTCAACTTATCAATCAACAATAGAAAAAAAAATCTATATTTCAACTTTAAGTATTAGGATCGAGTATGACCATAGATAAAAATATAAACTCCGATCTTATACACATCTTTGATGGAGTGATTAAAAAGTATCTAAGCTTTTTATATGCAACAGGCCATTCTCGGTTTATAACGAGCATGCCCACAAGTTCTGCACTCGGTAAAATCTGTATTTTCAAAATAGTACAACATGTAAAAGTTTGGACACATGTTAATTTTCTAGTATCCTAGGCCAAGAGATTTCATCATGGATTTAATAGTATTGAAGTTCTCTTTCAGCTTATTTCTTTTAGGTAAAATGTTTCTTGAGCATTTAAAAGATTTGTCATAACCGAACTCACCCAACCTATCCTTTAACTTAATGGTGAATATCTGTGCAATGACTGATAATTTGTTGTGATTTGTGAACCCATCCTATAATGGTTCATTAAAGTCTTTTAAAAGATCAAAAAACCTGGCTACGTTTGCATTTGGTTTTTTCATATAAATAACTCTAATTCATTCACATCACATCTATAACTATATTCTTATAAGAATTACTATTGTCATCTATAACTTCATGCATGTTGTTAGAACTAGAAGTTAACTGAATCATCATTTCTATCATGATCTTGTAAGGAACATATGGTTTCCGAGCGCAAACCAACATAAGTATTTCTTTATAAACTATTTTTGTAGAAGATACATTGTTACAACATCTAGATCGAGAAACTTTTTATTCTTACACCTCTTACATGAACATCTAATATCGTCTCCACTAATATTTCTTGGATAGATAATGCATAATTAATAAAACCTTCAACCACATTACAATCATCCATTCTACACAGTCTTTCAAGTGAAACTAAATATATCCAAGAATGATCATCTATTACTTATATCAAATCTATATAGAATATCGATGACAACATTTATTAATTAATTATATGAACTAAATAAATTAGTTAATATTGGTTTAACTCAAATTTATCCAATGTATTATAATAATACTCTTAAATTATTATTAATTTTCTACAAAAATTTAAATTCCTCCATATTTACCAAAATCTCCAATTCAACAATAAAATTGATAAAAAATATGAAATGTAACCATTAAATAAATTATTATTTATTTCATGACAAAAAACCTAAGTCACAAAATCGAAATTGATTTTATCAAATTACAAACAAATATAATTTTTTAAGATATAAAACAAACCCTAACATGTACAAATCATACATTTATATAACAAATTTATATGGAAAAAATTTATAAAACAAGTAAACACACAGACAAACTACATATACTACCTTAAAATGCCATTATAATTAACATTTTAAAATTGATTTCAAATAAAAAATTAGTTTTGCTTGCTTAATGCGAGAAATTCTAAAAAAAATACATTTTAAAATTGATTTCAAATAAAAAATAAGTAGTTTTGCTTGCGTAATGTGAGAAATTCTAAAAAAAAAAAAAATAAGAACAAGGATGCTGATAGACTGAGTGTTGGGGTGGTTAGATTTATGATGATGGTAGTTTGATTTGTGGATAAAATAGGAAAGGTTTTATTGTTATTTGCATAGAAAAATGAAGGAAGGAAAAGAAATGGGGGAAGGTGGGTCACTTGCTAGTTCATAACTTAAATATTACTGATGGATAGTACCAATGAGTTTATTTCATCAATATTTTATTTTGTAAACTTGATATATCAGTTTTTTCTTTTTTCATTTCTTCTTTCTCTCATTGTAATTCCTTTGGTATACACCGACAAAAAAATTTCATCAGTGTATACTAAGAGACATTGCAATAAAATATTTTGTCAATAAATTTCACCATAATTTACCGTTGAAAAAAATTCTATTTTGTATTTGCTAATTTTCTAGCATTGGAAATAGGTTTGCAAATGCCCATCTCAAAATATGGTTTTTAAATTAAATTCTAAATTAATAGATGTTCTCGAAGAAAATGATAATATGATTTTCAAATTAAATTCTAAATTAATAAATATTTTCAAAGAAAATAATAGGAGACTTGTAGAATGACAAAAGCAAATAATAAGCTCGTTTTGTATATATAAGGGAAAGTCTTTTCTATAAATAATTGGATCATGTAAAAAATATGATAATGATTTAGGATCAAAGAATAAGATTTTATTTTTTATTTAAATATATAAATATTAACATATGATATATTAATAGATTATTTATTTTCTCCTTGTAGAAAAAGTGACAGGTGATTTTCCATTTTTAACTTGCAGTGGTTTTTTCCACTGTGATTTGATTCAAATAAAGGCATCTTGTTTAAATCAATATCTTCTTTGTTCTCCCACCTTTCTCATGATTGCTAATTTTGTCGATTTGGCCAAAATTCTTTATAGGGTTGCCCTCTCTCCCATCTTGTTCATTTTGCATCATATTTAAAGGGCCTCTTGGTTCATACTAAAAATGCAATATCACTCTATCATTATCAAGTTGATTCATGATTAAATTGATGTACATTTCATTAATTCCTCCTAAATCAATATAAATTCATTTAAAAATATATTAGAAGTAATTAAATATATAGAGACGTATTAGAGACACTTCTAAAATAATTACATTTTTAGCTATTTTCTCCTCAATTATACTTTTTTCTTTCTTTCATAAGCCTCGCGTATGACACATTGCGAGAATCGATACATAAATTAATTTAGAGAAAATCCAATGAATTCATCATTTGCAACCTATAATTGGTGGAGGTAGTATAATTAAATTTACAAAATGAACCTATTAATTGTTCTGGATTAGAATTTATCACTTTTGCAGTACATTTTATTTTTCAATACACATGGTTTTCTTTCACAATCGAATATATAACCCATGAAAGTGGTCTATAACCATGAAAATGTTTACAATTAGCACACACTCTTAAAATATTTGGTAGGATAACACTATTTTTTTAAAAAAATAATGAAATAGCATATTTTTATGTTGTCGCACTTTAAAATAGCGATATTTAATAAATATTGTATTTTTGAAGCACGACAAGGTGAAGCTCTAACCATCTGGCTCACCTGGTCGACATGTTGGATCTAGTTATATGAAACAGTGATTATTTCACTTAAAAACCATAATTTAATAAATATTTTCTTCCAAATATATTTTGCGTCAAAATATATATCCTTGCCCAACTTGTGGACTCAAAAAGTTAGTGTTAACATAGAAGTTGTTTTTTATTTTTCAATGTCAATGATGTAGTTAAGTTGAAATAATAGGTGATTCTAAGTAATCAGGTGTGAATTTGTTATAACTAAATGAGGATCTATCCTAAATAAATTATGTGGATGACCTAGTAGGTGTATTTATTAACCAATAAAACAGGTCTAAGCTCAAAAGAATATTTGACTGCACCAGACCAGAAAAACAGCTCAAAATGCCATCATTTTTTATCCGACCGTTAAATTGTACTCAAGTTTTTACAAGAGTTTTCGAATGGTGTTTTTCCTATTATATCAATTGTGTCACTATGTGAACTATTAGATTTTTAGATATTAAAAATCTCCCTATAGCCCTCAATTTTAGTAGTTTTAAGATTTTTCTTGTTATATTCGAAATCAATCGATTTATTTTACTAGCCATTATAAAAGGATCAACCAATTGAACCATATAATTTAAGTTTTATCTTGTCACAGTTGAAAAGCATAATATTTACTAAATATTGCTATTTTAAAGTGCGACAATTATCTTGTGATACTTAGAAATAGCTACATTTAGTAAATATCATGGCGCAATAAGATGAAAATATACTATTTCATAAATTAGCCCATTGTTTTGATTTTGTGTGCTAATTCCCCAATTTTCTATATAAATGGATAAGAGAGAGGAGAAGAGAAGTGGACAAGAAAGATGCTACATTATTTGGCAGGTAATTAGACAGACAAAGAGGCAAAAGCACATTGAGTAGGGTGAAGGAAATCTGCACACACATGCTCAACTTGAATGAACTCCCATGTATTGTTTTTTTCTTGGAACAAAAGGCAAACTTCAGATATAAAGTTGCTTTAATGCAAGCAAAGGATGTGCAGATCTTGGTTTTGGTATTGTTTCTTATGGATAGCCGGCAAAGGTCGCTAGCTAGTTGCCTTGTTGGAGAATGGGACGTTTCTTTTCTGCGAGGATTCCCATAGAATTTCAAGACTAATATATTGACCTTAGCATGGAAATTAGGAGAGGATGGGGCTGTGTGAAGGATAAATTAAACTAAATTATCTAGTGGATTTCGTATACATAAATATATTATTTCAGCATACACACGTGTGGTCAAGTTATTTGTGGTTGTTTCTTCAAGTTTATATATATAAACTTGAAAGATGGTTGCTTGCTTTTTTAAAAATAATAATAATAATAATAATAATGTACAAATTAAAGTAGTGAGAGTTGAGAACATGGACACGAAAGCTTTTCATATTACATAGGTTTTCGAAAAAGTTACACAAATAAAAATTATTTTTCTTTATCAACATGATGAGGAGGTATTTCACATTTTCAGACAACACTTTTCCATTTTGAAGAGGTTTATATGTGATTTGTAATAAATTATCCTTAATGAGGACAAAACAAATCACAAATATTGTTGATAAGTGGGGGGTTTTTTTTTAGGTTCTCTCTCATTAAGTAACAAATCCTACTATATAAAATAATTTATAAAAAAAATATAATTTACTGATCGAAATATAAATAAATTATTTAATTTCCAATCATGAAGAAGCCTAATTGTTAAGTTATATTTGAGTTGCTGCAAAACTAACTCAACCTATTGAAAGTGTTTCCAAAACATGGTTGGTATTTTTGAATTATTTTTACATGTTAATATTAAAAATAAATTTTAAAAAATAAAAAATATTTTTAAAAAATATTTTTTTAAAATATATTTTAAATATCAACCTGCAATCACAGTATCAAACATGAACTCAGAAAAGCACAAATTGGTGCGTGCAAATGCTGATCGGCTTACAGACAGGCAATCAAAAACTGAATTCAACCCATATTTCGAAAGCCCACCTACAAAACAAGCCCGTCTGAGTGGAAGCATACGATCCTGCACAATAAGGGGCATCCACGGATCCTCAACGACAGGATAGCTGAATAATAAAACCAATATGGTGATACGGTAGGATTGTAAAAGTGCTCAGGATATAAGCATGTGAGAAGCAAGCAGGTAAGCACATTATGCAGCCAAAACTGCACCAAAAATACATATAAAGCAAGCTTCCTTCTTTTGTATACAGTACTGCCAAACACGTTCCAGTCACCAAAAATACATATAAAGCAAGCTTCCAATAATGAATAAACATGCTTCGGCCTATCTACATGTCATCATGCTTTCAACTGGTAAACTCGCGAAGTCCAGAAATTTCCAGCACAAAGCGTATTTACATATTTAGATACATATCAAGAACAAGAACCATAAATTGTTCAATCCTCTATCGTGAGCTAAGAGCCTGATCCGAATACAGGTAAGAGAAGCACATAAAAGGTTAGCTTGTAATGCAAATCAGTGGATAGACCTCCACACAGGTGGTAGAAGCTTGAAAGCAACCTGTCCATATCATGTGATTGGAAGCAAATAAAGGAACAATCATAAACTTTAAAAGCCCCTCGAGCTAGGGAAGGTAATCCATTGGAGTTGGATTTCCAATTCACCACATTCCACATTTTTTAATCTGAGGTAGAGATCTTGAACAACCTTGCCATCACTATAAATAATGCAGCTATCCTCAGATAAGCAATTTTGCCGGCTCGGTTGTATTCTTGTGATGACAGTGCCACTTGAAAGCCCTGCCAAGTTCATCTTCAAGGTCTCTATGAATGGCCTAATATCAATCTCTGCCTCTCCCATTTTATCGTCTTTGGTAAACAAGTCATGGTCATAGACGATCTGAAATCACAAACAAACATGAATATGAATTTGGGAATATTAGGAAAGCATGATACATAGCAAAAACATAAAAGATGATATTTTCTGCATGCTAAGTGATCCTATAAATATAGGTCGAAGAAGTAGAAAGCCTTCAACATAAAAAGGGTACTGCTCTATGCCCATTTGGGTTCTTATAGTTAGTAATTCCTTGACTGCCTCCTAATTTTCAGGTTCTTGTGATTGGATTAAGTGATTGTTTTGACTTTCACAAGTTCATGGAGCAAGACATCATGCATGCAGCTGTCCCTTCACAATATAGTGCATGCTCCAAATCTGTTAAGAGGAGTCAGTTGTAGGAAAACTGTTGAGTTCTCACATCCAATATGTTGTATTTAGCTTAATTTCAGTTTCCAGAGTAACAACTGCTTAGGCAACGCTGCATCCAGATCATTGTCACTTGTAAAAGCAAGTAGGTGGAGAGGTCCGAGTACCATGTAAAGCCATAGCAATCTCGATCAACCATCATAAAAGCACTTAGCATAAATACAAGCTCAACAGAAGCACATTTAGCATTATAATGAGAACAACAATAACAAAGTGCCATGGACCAAGAACAGTAATGAAATGCATGCGAGGTTACACAACAATGATGAAAAATGGTTGGTTGGTTTTGATACTAAATCTGAGTATCCAGATTAAAAGTTACTGTGCATTGGAGAGGCCCGTGCATCCTGTGGAGACATTACAAATACTGTGCAGCACCAACGTGGGATTACTCAGCAAATTGATGACAAATTTTCTCAACAGGAAAAAAGGCATATTCCCAATTTGATTCTGCATGTCTCTCGAGTGAATAAAGGTTGACATAATGAAGCATTACTGGCCAGTGTTGTATATTGGTGAATATAGAGGCCCTGTGACAATCTTCATCATAATGGAAGATTGGTGATTTTAAAATTGGAGCTGCACCTTTCAATGAAGTGCCAGTTTAAGATTTGAGGGACTCGCCTCAAGTAATCCTACTGAGCCACAGGCAATGAAAATATTGTTGTTCCTACCAACTAAAAAGAAAGAAAAAAGATAATGGTATCCTTGGACTCAAAAAAATGAAATGAATTTGAGATGTATTTTATAATGAAGTTTCACTCTGTTTCCTTCTTGTCTCTTTCCCATTAGGGGTCTTAGGAGGAGGACAGGGGTGTCAAGAGTTGCAGTATTGAGCACTGATGATTCAGGTTAAACCACATCCTCTGTAATGTTAACTAAAAGTTTTCAACATGACTCTTTTTTTAAAAAAAGCACCTTCAATCAGTTAGGCTTTTTGAATTCAGAAAGATTGTTATAGCACTCAGTTTGGAAATAGATTTGCAGTTGGACAAAGAGCACAGAAGAGAAGGCAATCATAAAAGTAGTTCTTTTCTGCACAATAAACATGCGCACGCATGTCCCTTGCTGAAATAGACCTTATGTCCTAATGTGACAAGACATTAAACTTACCAGCTTGACTGGAAGATTAGGATCTGTAACAGAAAGAGTTAAATCTTCATTCCAGTGTGGATTAACGTCCTTCTTGATCACACGAGTTTTCAGTTTCTGCAGCAAATGTTTACAATCATAAAATTAGCAGACGTAATGTAGTGACTAAAAAGGCCTAAAAGAAGAAAAACATTTACTCCACGTAAATATGAAATACTACAACATATGCATCCTACCGTACTGCAAGTAATAAAATATTGACAGGAAATTAGATGGGGACAAATTAAATAAATGTAAAAATGAAGAAAAAAGCTTGAAAAGCGATAGAAAGTTATAATATATGCACTTGAATGTGGTTCTCATCCTAAGTTAAACTTGCTAGCACAGCAGGCTGAACTGTCAAGATTAATGAGAAGATGTCAAAGAAACTGTACCATCCTATGTTGCAGGAGGAATTGTACAGACATCGCACATACAGAAATTGGAGATGTCGAAGAAATTATTTTGGACTAGGATTACAGCACAAAATGAGAAAAGATTAGAATCCAGATTTTCTTACCAAAACAACCAGGCAGTAGCCAACTAGCTTTATACCCTCTCTCTTTTTAATGCTAACCTTGCTAATTCTGGGTTTTCCCTGACTAAAATTTAAGACTAACATCCAAAAATAACATGTTCTCTTACAGAATTTCTGGCTTCTGATTATCAATTCATCCAACACATCATAACTTATCAATCTTCAATTTACTACCACAATAAGTTGTAATTTGGTTGAGGGCATAAGAACATCATAGACCTAAAAAGATACTTTCTCAACAAGAGAAAAACATTTAAACATATCAGATCAAAGCATCTAAGAAATACTTGAGCCTTGAAGTTCTTGGGGTTTTCCTTAAGAGAATTGAGAATCCAGATCAAAAAATACAACCCAAGATTAACAAGTTCTTTCTTATTTCCAAATTTTCACGGGGAAGAAACAGCACCGAAAGAAAGCAAAGAACAAACGAAGGAAAAATAAGAAGAAAGAACACAAAACTGCAAGAGAGATGAGAAAAAAGAAAAAAAGGAGAAACCAACCTGATTGCCCATCCTGATGACAACATAAGGATCACTGCTACGAACATCACGTACAGCAAGGTTTATACCACGTTTGACACGAATCCTGAGCAAACCCAAAATGCTCTCCATTAGACACCAAGCTTCTCCTCGTTGATGTGTTTGAGTTAAAAATGAGTCTTTTTTAAAAAAAACTCTTTGATCTCCTCCCCTCGTTTATATTACTGCATTTTCAACAAGCCCCACCAATGACGTGACAGACAGGAGTTTCCAGGTAAAAAAAAAAATACAAAACTGTTTATGTTACCAAATTCCATCAAATTTTAACTTGGTCAACACAATTTGATATTTTGTACAACCTGTTACAACTGCCTATAATAGTTCTTTAATATATATATATATAAAAAAAATACAGAGAGGGCCAGCTGCGTTGCCAAGCCCGTTCCAGAGGTTTGTTTTTTCCTTCTGGTCAGGTAAAAGAATTGTGAGTGAGTTTGAGAGGGAGGAAGATGAAAGAAGGTGAATTAGGTGAGGCTGGCATGAGATGGTGAATTGGGTGGTTTTGTCTTTGAATAGACAGACAGCTAGCTGACCACCTTGGCTGTACGGAAGCCTGTAACAACAGCAATCATGAGATGGTTCGAAACCCTTCGTTCGTCATGGTTTTTAAGAATTTTACCGTATTTTAATACTAAAAAATACCTTCAAAAACAATCATTACTTTCAAAAACCACAGTAAATCAGGATAAAGATCACAGGCACGCGTAGTCGTAGTTCAATGCACAAAGACAAGACATCTTCTTTTTCCTTTTTTGTCTCTTGTCTTACGTTTCATGTCGGCTAACATAGCAAGGTGACTAATTCAACGACCAAAGAGCATAGGGCGTCCAAATAGAGGAAGCAGCAACAGCTTGACGAAGGCATCCTCGTATGGATTGCCATCTGGCTCATTTGGACGCGTATTTATAGTATTTTTTGAACATCTGGGTGTTATCCTCACCTAGACTGGTTCCACAAACAAAAATATATTATCCAGAAGTTCAACTCTTCTTTTTTTTTTTGTCCAAAAGTCTATTTGCTTCCAAAACCAAACCCTATTTGATTTGATTTTTTTATTTAATTCGATTCATTTTTTTTTATTTTTTAAGAATTGAAAGTAACCTAACATTAAAGAACCAGAAAATTACCTTCTTATTAGTTAAAATCTTTTTATCCCTTTTTTTTTTGGATTGATTGATAGGTAAATTGTATTTTTATATTTATGTATTATTTATTTGTCTTGGATGTTTAAATCCTTGATGCTATCTTGTAGTTGATTGGAGCATAATTTAGAATGATTTTTCTTTTGAAAAAAAAATAAACAATAAAAAAGTCTTTTAACGTATCAATGGATTTAAAAATCTAACACCATGGTAAAAATAGTGTTTTACGGAACCAAAATCATTTTCTATGTTTAAATAAGAAAGAAGAAGATTTTAGTTTTTCAAAAAAAAAAACAAAATGAATGAAAGACCAAATTTTTTGTTTCGATTCGGTTTTGATTGATATTTTAAGGTATGATTAACCTAAACTAAATTGAATTTATCAACTGAATGCCCACCCTTAATTATATGAGCTCAACTGAACGTGATCGTATTCTTATTTTAAATAAATATATAGGTTCCAAAAAATTTTAAATGATAGCTACATTTCTAATTTGATTATTAATTGAATCCTTGGTTTCAAATTTTCTTCCTTTCAGTTATATATATATAGTTTTGGGTTCTTGAATATCATATACACAATAAAAATAATAAAATAAAATTATTTAGAAGCTCCTAAAATTTCATTAGACAAATCTAACTGTTTAGGGATTTATTATATAAAGGTATGATTTTTTTTTTACTTTAAATATTTAAAAAAAAAATAAGTTATCGCAAATCACAAGTCATCCAATTATCTAGTCTCCAACAATAATTTATACAAACTATTGATAAGAAATCTCTTAAATCCTTATTTAGAGAAGAGGAATTGTTATGTTTAGGATGCTAGCTCTTTATTATGTGACTTACATAGTTTTTATGTTTAATAAACAACCCCTACAAAATAAAAGTCATAGCTTACTATTTATAGAGAAATCTAAAAAACCCTATAAATTGGAAAAATATCAATTTTTTCACTAAATAATATCTATATATTAATTCAGGATAATTTTAGAAATTAACTCAATCAAGCCCTTACTTAATTTCTTAAGGTCTAGAAAATATAATTTCTATATTAATTATATTCTAGTTCTTAATTTTTAAAATATATTTTAATCAAATCATACTTAATTAAATTATCACAATTTGATTTCTAACTAATGATTCTTAATATATGTAACCCATTAGGTTCCTAATATGTTGGTTCAAATATAAATTTTAATTTTAATTAAATAGAATTAAATAAATTAAACAAATTAATTTGTTATTAATTCAATAATTAGTTTATTTATATTAAAGATTAGGTTCATCATCAAGTAACGTGTCATGATCCTTCAAATATTAAAAAAGTAATTAGTGGTTTGATTTAACCTTTCAATGACCGGCTTTTCAGTATAATAAATATTCTTTCACCAATAATTTTTTGATTTAACATTAAAACATGAAGTATGTTTGTCATGTTAAATTATGTTTTGATTTAACATTAAAACATGAAGTATGCTTGTCATGTTAAATTATATCTGTTCTCTACATAATAGTCACTGATTGTTTGAATAAGATTTGAAATTCTCCATTCCACCTTGGCCAATGATTTTTCAGTCAATATTATTTAAAAACAAATAAAATATTTTTTCTAATTCACTTAGAATGATAAATCATCTCTTGATAACTCAAGTATCTTCATATAGTTCATATCTTACTCAATGTTACCTCGATTAAGATATCATATAACAATATCAAAATATAATATTTTCTATATAAAATAACTTAGCGATCGTAAGTCTAAGGATCATTTACACAATTGTCATATAAATCTTTCTATAGACATACATGATCTCTCCATATGCAATTCTCATACGGATCAGTTCAATGTACATATCTTATGATATGCATATACATGTTAGTTCCAAGTATTTCTTATACCTTAATTTATGAGAACAATTGTTTCCTTTCATAAAGAAAAGAACATAATATGTATCAGTCTTTACAAATTTAATAAATATCAAGTATTTAAGAAAGCATCATCTAGGAACAGTTTAGAAATAATGTTTTGATGCAATAAGAATCTCGTAATTATAACACATTTATAATTTTTTTTACAAAGTATTTTTTATCCCATGATCTTTATCTTTATTCTACATTCACAAATAAAATATTAGATTCATTAATATAATATTATATGAATATAAAGATAGATAAAACCTTTATTAATAATAAATGTGTATCTACATGAATATAATAATATCATGTATAATCAACTGATTAATTAAAAAACATATTAAATTACACAATCGTTACTTTTATATTTTATTTTTGATAAAATAGACACAATTATTAGTAAGTCTTAAAAGTCATTAGGTTGTGTGTGTGTGTGAGAGAGAGAGAGAGAGAGAGAGAGAGAGGTACTTTTAGTTAGTTTACCTATTTTTCTTTTTCTTTTTTGTTTAGGTAGAAAAATTTATTTTTATTTTTTCAATCCTTGAATTTGAGGGGGGGGGGGGAAGGTTACTTAAAAGTAATATGTCAGTCACATTCTAGCAAAAAAAATTCAATTTTAGTGTTAAGGGGTTATATTTGATAAAAAGAGTGTTATTTAAGTTTTTTAATCCTTCATCATGTAAAAATAAAGGTAGATCTGGACTCGATTAATTTGGATTTGATTACTATTTTATTTTTCTAACCAAGTTTAAAATAGGTTTATTGAGTTCTAGGATTTTTTTTAGAAGTTTTTGTATGAAAAGCAAATGTTGCAAATGGGTTTTTTGGATCATATAGGACGAACCTGAATTTTCATACTTATAAGATAGTTGAAATTCTACCCAAATGGGTTTTTTGGATCATATAGGACGGACCTGAATTTTCATACTTCTAAGATAGTTGAAATTCTACCCATAAATAATGTGTCAAGTTTAAAATAGGTTTATTGAGGTCTAGGATTTTTATTATAAGTTTTCATATGAAAAACAAATGTTATAAATAGGTTTTTTGGATCATATAGGACGAACCTGATTTTTCATAGTTCTAAGATAGTTGAAATTCTACCCATTAATGATGTGTTGTTCACTTATTTTATTAAAAAAGTTAGGTTGACGACTCAATTTATCTTTATTTCAAAGCATTCAAAATGTTTTTGATATTTATTCTAATTACTTTCATTTTTTATTGAATAAAATAAAGCTATATTTTTTGTTAGAAAAATATATTAATAAGAAAAAAATATTATAATATAAAATTATTTTGTTTCAATGGAATTTAAATTATTACTATTTTTATATATAAAAAAAACAATTATTGCCATATAATTAGAGGAAATAAAATTTAAAGAGCTCCCTATCTCACAAGATAAGATATCTTAATTTGTATTTATATCTTATCTTATTGACTTAGTTTTAGTTAGCATTAATGACTCTTTTTTATATTTATTAATGTATATAATTTTTATTTTTTTTAATTAAACATATACATCAACTTTTTAATTCAAAATTAAAATTTTCTTGATGTTAAAAGATGCTTTGACAATGTATGCATATATCTTTCATTTAGTTTTTTTTATTTAATTCATCACAGAGCACGAGTCACTAGCTAGTATATTTATAAAACTAAAAAAAAGGGTATTTATCCCTATAAGAGAATAAAAAAACATTGAATTAAATTAATTTCAAAATCAAGAAAATTATGATTTGTCAATTAAGATTTCACAGCCCATTCTTACTGACAATACAAAAAGAAAATAGATTTGGTTTATACTAGACAGTCCAAACATGGGCTGCAAGTATCCCTCAAATAAGTTGTATATAGCTCATATAAAGGTTGTACATACAGCCCCTATCAGGTCCCTGCAACCTCAATCTGGGTTGTCATGTGCAGTCTTGTGGACAGAGCTATTGGGTAACCCAGTGGGGTTGATTTTTCTAACCTAGCTAATTTATAAGGTATCTAGGTTTGGGCTAATTCTTTTTAGCCTAGTCAAGCTACCTAGTGACTATTGGACCAAATTGCAAAGCTCAACAAGTTCATCACC